TTAAAGAATATTTAACTTATTGGTTGGGCTCTAATCAGTGTGGCTGATATCACTGAGATCAAATTACAAACAGTAACACTGGATTGGTTCATGCTGTATTGTTTCCTGTTAATCCTGGCAATTTCAACCCAGCATGGAAGTGGTGGACCCTGTCACTACAAAAGCTACTAAATAGAGGGGTACTTATGTAGCTTAAATACATTGACTGGCTATTGGTGAAAAAATAATAATATATTATAGTAACATAAATATTAACCAAATCTGTTTTGAAGGATTATAACTCTAAGTACATTGTTCAGATGGATGTTGTACTTTTTACTCATTTTCTGATCTGCTCTCTTTCATCATGCTATATCAGAGTTGTAATAATAATCTGTACTCTGAAGATAAACTGTAAATTTGTAGTAGAGTGAGTCAAGCTAGATCAGTTAACCTTGCTAGCAACACGTACTAGCAAACAACACTTACTGATGGTTTTACTGCGAAAGCCTACCATGGGCCTCACATCCAAACACATTTGACACATGCAGGACGTGTTGTATTAGTATAAACAGTAGATGTTTTGTTTGTTTAGCACATATAAGGCAATAAAATGCAACAGTGCCACACCTGGTGGAATGTATCAGAATGTATACAGGCACATTCATTACTTTGGAGTAGTTGACTACTGGTCACTGTGCAGACTAGTGGTTTAGTAGTGTAGTGTATGATGACAACGGAGCAAAGTCTGTCCACTGAGGAAGACAGTAGGATGCGGTTGAAAACGAAAAAAAAATCTAGTAAGTGGACGATGAGTGTATATTAATAACAATAAGCTATGATGTCCTCTGTCCACAGCCTTCACTGCACTGAAGGAGCACATTGGCTGGCGCTACTGTCTGGTTATCCTTGGCATCTTTCAGCTTTCTGTGATTGGTTGTGGGCTTCTCCTTCGTCCAATCATCATTAAGCCAGAGCCTGTGAAGGAGGACAGTGAGTCAGACAAAGAGCCTCTCTCTTTGAACCAGCTGCAGGCTGTGTATCAGCTAGAAAACGAACAAACCAGAACCTCCATCAGTTCAGGAGTGTCACAGGGGTCAGAGGACTCAGGTGTCACCTCCCTCTCTGCTTCCAACGTAGACCTGCGGACAGCAGGGGCTGAAAGCCAGGTTCTGATGGAGTGGGCGATGCAGGACAAAGAGGTCACGAAAAAGGATGAGGGCGAACTAGCAACTGCAGAGGCGGGTCCTCTCCAGCCCTCCAGCCCCAAACTCCTGGACTTCTCTGTGCTTAAAGACCCTGCCTTCATCTGGTACTCCCTGTTTGGCTTGTTCGCCACGCTGGGTTTCTTCGCCCCGCAGCTCTACGTCATCGAGCTGAGCAAGAGCCGGGGCGTGGAGCCCAGCATGGCCTCCTATATGCTCTCTGTGATGGCTGTGGCCGAGATCTTGGGCCGACTGTCCATCGGGGTGGTGCTGAGCAAAGTCCGCTGCAGGAAGACCCTGGTGCTGCTGGGCTGTGTGCTCCTGCTGTGCCTGGTCCTGGTGGCCTTTGCTCTTGTGTGGGAGTTCTGGGGCCTAGTGGTCTGCTGCGCCCTCTACGGCTACTTCATGGGCACCGTCGGCTCCACTCACATCCCAATGCTGGCCGAGGAGGACGTGGTGGGCATCCAGAAGATGCCGTCATCTGTGGGAGTGTACGTCTTCATCCAGAGCTTCGCTGGGCTGGCAGGGCCGCCGCTAGGAGGTACGAGAGCCTTTACTGTGTATGACTGCGTTCATCAGTTCTCCTGCCTGTAGATTCTAACTGCTCTTATCTGTCCTTCCAGGTGTGTTGGTGGATGCCACCAACAACTATGGTGCCGCCTTCTACTCCTGTGCGGTGGGCATGGGCTTTAGTGCCATCTGCCTGGCTCTGGTCGGCCCGGCCAAGTCCGGCATGTGCCAAAAGCAGAGTGGGAACAAAGAGGAAAGCAGGAGCACGGAGGAAGAGGAGAAAACGTCTCAGGACAGTGGCCAGATGGACTTTTTGGAGGTGGACTTGGCCCTGGAGGACAGTCCCATCAGACAGGCTGTAGATCGGGACGCTGCCTCCTTAATATGAAGCTGACTTCATCACCTTACACCGACGACTGCACCGCCAGAGCCAACAACAAATACAGCAACTGAACGCAGCTGCTGGATCCAGATCTCAGGTGTCAGTCTTTCACACTCTGACAGCCTTGAAGTCCACTGCCCACATTACGTCTGAAGCAGGAGTGGAACACACACCTCTTGCAGCTTTAAACTGTCATTCCCCTCCAAAAGCAAAGAGCAGACAATCTACCTGCACTTCTCAGACGCACAGAGAATGATTCCACTGCTGCTAAAGCTGGACTAGAAAGCGCAGCATCCTATCTGATGCTCTTACACACATTCATGCTATTGATAGTGAATTTATACCACTGTGGTAACTGAAGCAATACTGCACAGTGATCTCCAGCTCAGTGTCTGTACACGGATCCAGTACTCTGTGACTCCACTGGACGTTTCACTGCACAAGCCTCAGAGACTTTCCTTTATTTTGCACTGCTTTGGTTTCAAAGCATCGGCTGTATGTGGTTTATCACGTTGTCATGATCCTGCTGACTCACTGTAATCACCTCGTTATAAGTAACAGCATACAAATTGAAAAGCAATCATGATTCAATGGAAGAACTTAGTTTACAGTGATTTATGTTCCTCTTCAGTGGCTAACTCAGTAAAGTGTGGAACCAGAGACGGTCAGTGGTGGAAGAAGTACCCAGATGTTTTACTTGAGTAAAAGGAGCATTACTACAGTATAAAGCTGCAACAGTTAGTCAACTATTAAATTAATCTCCAACTATTTTGATAATCGATCAATCGTTTTGAGTCATTTTCAAAATGTTCGCTTTCTTTAGTCCTCTATGGCAGTAAACTGAATATCTTTGAGTTGTGATGGACGTCACCTTGGGCTTTAGGAAACACTGATCAAATACCAAATAATTGAGAAAATGATCAACAGATTATTCAGTAATGAATATAATCGTTAGTTGCAGCCCTACTAGTGTAAAAATACTCTGTTACAAGTAAAAGTCTTCAAAAAAAGTACAAAAGTATCAAAATATACTTGAAGGTCTCGTGTGTAGGATTTAGTGACATGTAGCGGTCTAGTTGCAAATCTCAACTCTCGGTTCATTCAATTCAATTCAATTTT